TTTAAAGTTCAAATCCTGAATGGGGGTCATTCTCCAGAAAAACCAGCCTGATCTCTTTAAAAGGTCGGAGTTATGGAAAAATGGAAGAGGTTATTTTATTATTCTAGGTGTAAGAAACATAACCAGATGCAATGCATGACCTTTGGTTGGATTCTAGTTCAGGAGGAAAGTCAGTGATATACATTTTGGGGGCATTTTGAGAATTTGAACATGGACTGTCTATTTGAGCAATAATGTCATGTCAGTTCTGATCATAGTATTTTGTGATATAGGAGAATGTCATTGTCTGGGAGTCTGTGCTTGCATATTTAGGAGTAAAACGTCATGATGTCTACTCTGAAATGGTATAGCAAGTGGGTATATGAAATATGATACAATATTAACCATTACTGAGTATAGATGGCGGGCTTTTGGGTGTTCATGGCACTGTTTTTCCTCTTTTCTGGGTGTTGGAAATTTTTCATGCTTGTGCGTGAGGATACTAAGGAAGCCGTCACCTCTGGGAGAGAAGTGTTGTGGGACACAGTATGTCTTGCTGAGGCTGCCCTGTGGTTTGGGAGAAGGCTTCGCTGGAGGGGAGCCATGAAGTGGTGGGCGGAGCCCACTGTGAAGGGTGCTTACCTGCCCGGCTGTCCAGGGGCTCAGCAGGCTGACCCAAGGCAGTTTCCCAGGCTCCCCATGAATTGGTCTCCTAGTCGCCGTGGGAGAGGGCTTCCCACCATGGTGCACTGGACCACAGCTTCCCCTTGGCAGTCTTGGGGAAGCTCAAGTCATGTTGGCCAGGAATCCCCTGGAAAACAAGAGAAGCTGGATAGTTTTACAGTAAAAACTCCATGTTGGATATTTGCTCTTAGTGTCTTGGGACTATGAAATGTAACAACCCAAATAAACGACCACTCCCTTCAAAAGTATTACTCATTGGAGCACAGTACTACTTAAAACTAATCTATTGCCTGGCTAAGCCAGGATGGAATTTGTTCAACTCATACTTGATTTTTTTTTTTTCCCTTTCTATTCATGAAATCTCTGAATTTCTAATAAAGCCATTTGGAACAGTTTATTTTAGGCAGAATGTTAAATGAAATAGTAGCAGAACTCTGTCCTTAAAACATGGACCACCTTTCTTTCTCTCACAAATATTACTGACCCCTGCCTCCTTTTTTTCTTGGATACTTAATGTTCTTTGGTGAAGAACAGAAGGAAGTACATGTGGTAATAAGTCATCATCTGGGGCTTCATTGCAAGGTTGTCTGTAGAAAGGTAGCCGGAAGTGCAGCAGCTCTTTATAAAGTACGGAGTGCGGGAGGCACAGGGATGGGAGACTTTTGGGGCTGCTTGGGGGCCATGGGAGACGATGGCCTCCTGCTGGTACTGGATGTCTCATGACATTAAGCAACGCAGAAATATATTATTTCTAGAAGTAGACATACCTGAAGACTCCTGGTGGAAAGGTGCTTCCACTACAAAGCAGTCCCCTCTCTAACCCCAATCTCTTTCTGTGGCTACAGACAGTTTTTTCAAATTAAGGAGGCCCACAGTAAGTAGCTCAAAGAAAACAGGCATCCTTAAGTGTGATTTATAAGTGCCTCTGGATCTTGGAATACCATTGTCATGTAGTTTTCAGATGAATATCACTTTATGATTTCCATTTTGCTTCTTCCCCCGCTGGCCCTGACCCTGGTTCCGGGCATTTAGAACATCAGCGTTGCAAGCTGGTGCCCAAGAAGGGGAAACAGAAGGCCTCCTGGATTCTTTGCCAAGCTGCTATTTAGCTTTCGAGAGTAGTGGAGCTTTACGTTAACCCTGGATAATACAGTATCTCAGTAGCCTGCTCAAGTCTGTGAAGCCAGTTTCATTAAAGAGCAAAGATAATGTACTCTTTATCACTGCCTATTATCTATGGATAAATGAAGTACAGCTCCCTAAGCATTTCAGTTCAGTATATTTCAACAGCAGTGAGTTTCTTCGTTTACATATCAAAATTAGTTTGCCTTAAGAACTGACACAAATACTTCTTGTGTTTTCTCTCTCTTCAAGTTTCTCTTTAAACAATAAGGTTTCCTACAGCCAGTAGAATTTGAACTAAGCAGGTGCAAATCTCTTTTCCATGGTAAACTTACCATTTCTCTTATAGGTGCCATTCGACAGGGTTTTCCACTAAAACCATAACAAGACGCCAGCTGAGGAATGATTGCCTTTAACATAATCCTGTCCAGGAGGGTGGGGGACAGAAGAGGAAGGATTTCAATAAACTCATTTCTCCTAGTAATGTCAGTAGTAAAACAGTCAGAATTTGACTTATACTGCTTTATTTTTCTATAGGGGAAGGTGTCCTACTGAGACAGCTGACCAAGCAGGATTTAGTTATTACTCAAGTGGTATCTCCAGATACCAGGCTTCCTGAGCTCGAGCTTTCCTAGTCGACTTCAGATTTAGTGCCTTCCTACTAATAACACTTTATCGCTGGAGATTTTGTACAGGGAAAAGAGTTTTGAAAATTTGAGCATGCCATCTGACTCTTGATCACCTGGAACTATAAGCATTAAGTGTGATCCACCAGCAAAGGCAGAATGACTTCGATATTGCATTTTTGTTGTTGTTGTCAGTCCTTTGGAAGACTCACATGATAAATCATTACTTTGAAAATCACCTTTCTTTGTGTGTTTGTAAATCCCAAATTGTTAAGGACTCTTCTCTTACCATCCCCCTCCCCCAGCAGTAGGACAAATAAACAGATGTGGATGTCACTTCCACTCTCTCAGTGACCTAAGGGCTGAAGTATTTGTTTTAAAGCACTCAGAATAATGCCAGTGGTGTGCATATTTTGTTTGACACTTTAAGCAGAAGAAAGCCACATGACCAAAGTGCAATCCACTTTAAGTATGTTAGGGAAAAATATATTTCATCTCAGTAAATCTGGAGATTATCCCATCATAGATGTCACTGTTATTTCAAAATCCCCGTGACTGAAGCAGTTGTGCTGTCAGAGCCATAGCTTGTGTAGACAGAACATCAAGTCTGTGGTCACTGATGTTCTGGATCTTTCTACGAGGGTGACAGAAGGATACTTGAATGTAAAACTGGAAACTTTAATTGTGTTCTTTATGTACAAGTTATGTCAAAACAATCATAATGATAGTCTTTGGAGAATCCAGTGGGCCTGGAGACCACCTCTTTTTAACTCCTGGACCTTCCAATTTCATAAATAAAATACTGTCTTTAAGAGTTAGCAATTTTCTGAGGTTGTTTTAGAACCTGGGAACCCTCACCAATCTTTGGTGGGCCTTTCACTTCTGATTCTTCCACCAAGTACTGGACTGTGTTAACCGGACGTTTTTACTTGATTTCAGGAGAGTCATCAAGAGAGTAGTCTATACCTGGAGGGGGGCTGGAAGGAAGGAAGGAACTATGCTGGTACTTCCTGTGAGCCACCTGCAATTCCATTGCCACCCTGTAAGGTGAATGGTAATGTCTCCATCATCACAGATGGAATGCATTCCTTTGGACCAGGCTTCTTTCATTTAACATCATGTTTGTGAGATTCAGTTCTGATATTGCCTCTAGTTGTAGCTTATTCACTTTTAGGGGCAGAGTAGGATTGCACTGTGTGACTATTACCTCCTCCCTTTTTTTCAATTAAAAATTCTACTTTTGGGCTTCCCTGGTGGCGCAGTGGTTGAGAGTCCGCCTGCCGATGCAGGGGGCACGGGTTTGTGCCCCGGACTGGGAGGATCCCACATGCCGCGGAGCGGCTGGGCCCGTGAGCCATGGCCGCTGGGCCTGTGCTCCACAGCGGGAGAGGACACACCAGTGAGAGGCCCGCGTACCTCAAAAAAAAAAAAAAAAATTGTACTTTTGATGGGTATTTGCATTGCTTCCAGTTTGGGACTATTGTGAAAAGTGCTATTAACGTTCTGTGTGTTTATGCTTAAGTTCAACTTTAGATGCTGAAAGAAGCTGTACCATTTCATACTTCCACCAGCAGTGCATGAGAATTCCCATTTGCCCACATTATTGCCAACACTTGGAGCTCTTGGCCTTTTTCAGTTTGGCCATTCTGGTGGATTGGAGAGTTTTCTTTCTGCCTCTTCTCTTTTCGTGGGTTGGGGGGGAGGTTCATGTCATATTTCTTTTCATCTCATCCTATATAAAGGCTTTACTGTACTTGAATTAGAATAACTTATTTACAGGCGAAATACACCCTTCTTCAAATAGGTATTAAACTCTTCTTTCTGTGAGCTGATAAGTAATGAGCATCAGAAGGTGGCCAAGATTGGTGCACCAGCTCAGCCTGAATTAATCCTCCAACCTGGAGGGACTGGTTGTTAGGCCTGTTTGGTCAGACCTCATTTATTCCAATTTACAGATAAAGTAACTGAGCTGCTTCAGGGACTGGAGGCTATTCCAGGTGCCGTGGCCGGGCCTCCTGGAAGAGCTAAGCGTACACTGTTCACCCCTTCCTCTAAGCGAGGCCCTCTACGGATTCTCTTCATCTTTTGCTCACTAGGTAATCATTGAATGCTCACTGGATGGCAGGCACTGGGCTAGGCCCGTGGGATTCAGTCACAAACAAGCTTATTATCTAATGCTGTCTTCTTTCACTTTACAGGTTTTTGTTTGTTTGTTTGTTTTAATGGGGTATACTTGATTTACAAAGTTGTTTTAGTTTCAGGTGTACAGCAAAGTGATTCAGTTACACATATACACATATTCATTCTTTTTCAAATTCTTTCCCCATACAGGTCATTAAAGAGTATTGAGTAGAGTTCCCTGTGCTGTATAGTAGGTCCTTGTTGGTTATCTATTTTATGTATAGTAGTGTGTGTATGTTAATCCCAAGCTCCTAATTTATCCCTCCCCCTCCACATTTCCCCTTTGGTAACCATGGGTTTGTTTTAGAAATCTGTGAGTCTGTTTCTCTTTTGTAAATACGTTCATTTGTATCATTTTTTAAATTAGATTCCACATATGAGTGATATCATATGATATTCACTTTACAGGTTATGGCTTTCAAATCACAGCCTATTTCCTCAAGAGAGGGATACGTCTCCGCTGCCTCGGGGGCTCACAGAATGCAGGTGAGAAGCCAGTTTCTTGGGTCGTCAGGCATTGTGCACAATTAACGTGTCCTTAGAGAAGGGGTGAAAACTAAGGAATGAAGATTCCTAGTTGCCTCATAGCCTTCATGAAACTTAGTATTTGCAAGCACTTGTGATTATTTGTGTTTCATCTTGCACTGTTTACTGCCTGCCTGAGCGCAGTGAGTGGTGCCACACTCTACTTTCCTTTCCTGCTGCATCTCAGCACTTTCCTTGAGCTTCCAGAGTGACTGGACAGGCAGTTAAACTGTGACTCACTTCACCATTGTCGGTGCACACCAAGGCCCAGGAGTACAGAGCAAGCACGTGCACAAGAAAATGCTTTCCTAGGTGTGTGATGAGGCCTGCTTTCCCCCCACCCTGGCCCCCATTTCCCCAAGTCAAGACGTCCACTGAGGAAATGATTTCAGACGTGTCCAGCCAACAACAACAGAGTCAGATGCTAACGACCGGAAAGAAAATCTAGCTCAGCTTCCTTGGATGATTTTAGTACATAAGACATGAAACAGGGACTTTAAAAAGTAACTGTGTGGAGGTTTGCTCTTGGAATCTGCAGTTACGGGCACTTTCTTTTTTTTTTTTAAATGCATCTTTATTGGAGTATAATTGCTTCACAGTACTGTGTTAGTTTCTTTTGTACAACAAAGTGAATCAGCAATATGCGTACATATGTCCCCATAGTCCCTCCCCCTTGAGCCTCCCTCCCACCCTCCCTATCCCACCCCTCTAGGTCATCGCAAAGCACTGAGCTGATCTCCCTGTGCTGTGCTGCTGCTTCCCACTAGCTGACTATTTTACATTTGGTAGTGTATATATGTCGATGTTACTCTCGCTTTGCCCCAGCTTCCCCCTCTACCCATCCCCCTCCATCTCCTCAGGTCCATTCTCCATGTCTGCATCATCTTTATTCCTGCCCTGCCACTAGCTTCATCAGTGCCTTTTTTTTTTTTTTAGATCCCATATATATGCGTTAGCATACGGTATTTGTTTTTCTCTTTCTGACTTAACTTCACTCCGTATGACAGACTGTAGGTCCATCCACCTCACTACAAATAACTCAATTTCATTTCTTTTTAATGGTAATATTCCATTGTATATATGTGCCACATCTTCTTTATCCATTCATCTGTCGATGGACATTTAGGTTGCTTCCACGTCCTGGCTATTGTAAGTAGTGCTGCAGTAAACACTGTGGTACATGTCTCTTTTTTTGAATTATGGTTTTCTCAGGGTATATGCCCAGTAGTGGGATTCCTGGGTCATATGATAGTTCTCTTTTTAGTTTTTTAAGGAACCTCCATACTGTTCTCCATAGTGGTTGTATCAATTTACATTTCCACCAACAGTGCAGGAGGGTTCACTTTTCACCTCAAACTGTACTACAAAGCTACAGTAATCAAGACAGTATGGTACTGGCACAAAAATAGAAATATAGATCAATGGTACAGAATAGAATGCCCAGAGATAAACCCATGCACCCATGCACATATCATCACCTAATTTACGACAAAGGAAGCAAGAATATACAATGGAGAAAAGTCAGCCTCTTCAATAAGTGGTGCTGGGAAAACTGGACAGGTACATGTAAAAGAATGAAATTAGGACACTGCATAACACCATACACAAAAATAAACTCCAAGTGGATTAAAGCCCTAAATGTAAGACCAGACACTATAAAACTCTTAGGGGAAAACATAGGAAAAACACTCTTTGACATAAACCACAGCAAGATCTTTTTTGACCCACCTCCTAGAGTAATGAAAATGAAAACAAAAATAAACAAATGGGACCTACTGAAACTTCAAAGCTTTTGCACAGCAAAGGAAACCATAAACAAGACAAAAAGACAACCCTCAGAATGGGAGAAAATATTTGCAAACAAAACAACAGACAACAGATTAATCTCCAAAAAAATGCAAACAGCTCATGGAGCTCAATATCAAAAAAACAAACAATGCAATTAAAAAATGGGAGGAAGACCTAAATAGACATTTCACCAAAGAAGACATACAGATGGCCAAGAGGCACATGAAAAGATGCTCAACATCACTAATTATTAGAGAAATGCAAATCAAAACTACAATAAGGTATCACCTCACACCAGTCAGAATGGCCATTATCAAAAAATCTAGAAACAGTAAATTCTGGAAAGGGTATGGTGAAAAGGGAACCCTCCTGCACTTCCTTAACTTTAAGTGTCGGTTGACTATGTTACTCTCACAGTGGGGCCTTCCACTCTGTTCAGTTCTCTTAGTAAAATAAACCAGTTAACTTTGTATCTGTTAAAATACAGCCTAGCTACCCTTCCTAGTAGGGACTGCCATTGCTTAAATCTTTACTTTATTTAAATATTGACATAATATAAATCTCAGTTATAACCTAAGCAGAGTGAAAGGGTACATAAGTGGCCTTCTATTTATATAATACCTGGCACCAAATTGTTTAAAATCTGCCATTCTAGCGTTCTTCTTTTCTTTTCTTTTTTTAAAATTTATTTATTTTTGGCTGCATTGGGTCTTTGTTGCTGTGCGTGGGCTTTCTCTAGTTGTGGCGAGTGGGGTCTACTCTTCGTTGTGGTGCGCCAGCTTCTCATTGCAGTGGTCTCTCTTGTTGCAGAGCACGGGCTCTAGGAGCACGGGCTTCAGTGGCTGTGGCTCGTGGGCTCTAGAGTGCAGTCTCAGTAGTTGTGGCTCACGGGCTTAGTTGCTCCTCAGCATGTGGGATCTTCCCGGGCCGGGGCTCGAACCCGTGTCCCCTGCATTGGCAGGCGGATTCTTAACCACTGCGCCACCAGGGAAGCCCTAGCGTTCTTATTTTCGAGAGGAATCATTTGATAGAACTGATCATTTTGAATTCTAGTTCAGATCCACTAATGAACTATGTTTCAAGATTGTGATATTGGGGGGCAGGGGTGCAAATAATGAATTCTGAGTCTCAGTTTCCCCTTCCATAAAGCAGGAAGTAGACTGTTTACCTTTTATCTCAATAAGATATTGGAAGAATTAGTGAATAAATACTAACTGCTATGTTAACTTTGTTTTTCTGCCTTTTCAATGTCCACCCTAGCCACCTAGCCAGATATAGCACCCATGTGGGTCAAAGTTTAAACACACTGGACCCCCTGAAATGGGGGTTTCTGCATGAGAAGGACCAGAGGGAGTCAGATCAGAATAGCAGGTTAGGCCCCAGTCGCGGAGACTGAATGTTTGCAGGTCGCATGGTGAGGAGCCAGGGTGGGGTTCTGAGCAGGGTAAGCGGAGCTCTTGTTGGAACTGCTACCCCACTTGCCCTGAGTAGAATGAATTGGAATAGAGAAGAGTGACCCCCACAAGGAGACAACAGAGGTCCCGGTGAGCACAGAGCAGATCCCGGAACATCAGCTTGCTAGGCCTTTTGGTATCATTTAACCTCCCCGAGTGGTGTGAGGCGTTAACTGTACAGAAGTTTTGTGTCTGTGTACCTGACACCTTCACGCTTGGCTTGCATCACTACCTCAGTGCTCTCCGTTGCCATCCGTTGTTGGAAATGTGCAATGTATGTAAAAGGCTTCACTTTCATGACTCATAATAAAAATTGGTCACATCTAAGAGGAAGATTTTCTCTTTTAGAAAAAGATGGCTTTATTTCTGTTATAAATATGATACGTATTATAAAAAATATTCAGGCAATACAACCAAGTAAAAGCAGGGGAGAGAAGACCCTCCCACCCCCACCCCCCAGAATGTACACTGTTAACATCAGCTAAGCATCCCTCCAAAGATAGGTGGAGGCTGCATGAATGAATGGAGAGACGGATAGACAGATGGAGAAGGAGGCACACAGGTAGTAGCATTTACCACTTTATAGTCCTTTCGTTGAGTGTTGAGAAGTCTGGTTCTGTGATTCATTCAGTCTTCCCCACCCAGAAGTCAGTGGTTTTGCTTTAAGAAGTTGTAATAATGGATCACTGCAACTGTGGTATTGTTGTATCAACTCTACTATTGCACATTTAACCATTTCCTTAAGTTTGATCATTAATTCCTGATCAGTGACACTGCTGTTTTCATAGCCTGGTTCAGATCAGTTGTAGGAGAACCTCTCCAAGACCAGGTGACCGAGGAGAGGATAAGTAAACTAGTAAGAACATTGTCGAGTCACGTTTTCAGATTTTCGTCATCTTCCCGTGTACGTCAGAACACTCATTAGTTAATGTTGACCCTATTTCCTAAATGTGAGTTCTGAACAGAAAACAGCAAACTGACACAGAAGGAAAGCTGTAAAGGCCCTGCCTGGGGGTTTCATGTGATATGATGGCCCAGGGGCTCAGGTGGACCAATCTGCAGCCTCCTTGGCCATCCCTAGAGCTTTGTGCTTGTCCCGCAGTATTGATGACAAACACTGAAATGAGGGGAGGGGAGAAGACACGTGTCTGATACATACACGCTTATTGCTGTAACTCAGAAGTCTGGGACCAAGCATTTCTGTGTTTAGTCTTTTGATACCTTTAGTAATGTGATTTCCTTCATTTTGTACAGAACTCCGGGTATTTCCCGACAGATTTGTGGTCTGCGTAAGTCAGCTTGCATTCAGTCACGATCTTTTGGCAAGTCAGAGTGAAGAGTTGGTACGTATGAAAAAAATTCTGTAAGCAAATAAATCTGCTTAAATGATGAGTTATTATGAAAAATAGAAAAGAGATTGTCGTCTATTCTCATTCAGCTCTTGAGCCCTCAGTGCATGTTTTAAGGGACCAAAAAGTCTTACCTGTTTTGCATGATAATATTGATTAATCGATGTGCTGCTTCTTTTCTTGAAGACGCCTTGAAAATTTAGCATGATCAGTAGTATCTCTTCCATAGCAATACAAAAATGAGAAAACATATCACAAAAACTGTGAAAATGCTTATGATAGTATTTAAATGAAATATAAAGCATTCTTTAAATGAAATGAAGCAAAATCCACGTTTCCACTAGAAGCTTTCATTGGGGTCAGTGGCTTTTGAATTTTATTCCATGGTGAATCACTGACATTTTCATGAGAACCAGTACTTTTCCCCAGTGTGTTATTTCTTAGCTGATAGGGTTTGTTTTCTCTCTCTTTTCTCGTGCTAAGTTTTGAGCTCCATCAGTCCTATTTCTGTTTCACTGGAGTTCTCTATGCAGACAAATGGATACTGAAAATTCACTCCTAATGTTATAGTTTACAGCTTTGTCTTTTAAGCTTAGCATATACGTTTGAGAGTCTCCTTGGTGTGTGTGTGCATGCGTGTGTGTGTGTGCGTGTGTGTATCTTGCTGCAGTCACAGCTCAATCTATCAGAACTTACCTCTGTACCATTTTTTTTTTTCATATTTTTGGACTTGGACTTGTGACTTGAAACTTTAACAAAGAGGGAAAAAAATCTAGTAGACGTTAAACGTGGGCATGAAGTATGACATGATTATTATGCTTCTAAAATAATTTATAGGGATATTAGATTATCCCTTAAGTTTATTATTTTTTAATCCATTTGAAATTTGGCCCACATGGTCTAAAACCAGCTTCTTATCTTATCTTAAATAAATACATAGGAAAAGTGTTTTAGAGACTAAAAGGGTGAACAGAGACCCAGCAAAAGTAAAGAGCAGAGAATGCAGATTTAAATTTAGATACCTTCATCTGTAGCAGATGAGCCCTTCAGAAAAGCCAGTGGGACCTGTATTTCATCTATCAATTAAATGCTAAGTATACACATTAAGTGAAATAAATGGGGCAAACCTGGTGAAAAGTATTGAAAGTTTATTTGTGAAGTATTTGTAGGATGTTGAGTTATCTTAGTAAATTAATAAATACTAAAGTCGTAATGCTGTTGGCAAACAGCTATAATGTAATATAGCTTAACTGATTCTCAGACCAATGAAGAAATTGATTTGTGGTTTGAGAAAACAACAATTAATTGTACCACAAAGTACTACTGTTTTCACATGGAATACAGAAGAAATTAGATCTTGTATGGTATGTTATATTAATATGTAATATTTTAAATTATTAAGGGTGAGTTAAAATATCTCCATACAAATGAAATATTATCCTCCTTAGGGGCACTGGTATTTATACAGATGTAAGTTTCCTATAGCTGCTGTCATATAAATCTTATAATCTGGAGGACATCCTAAATGTTAAGAATTGTCATTCTGAAAAGTTGACTGGTCTGAGCCTTTTGCGTGAGCCAGTTCCGTGTTCTCATATTCAAAATGTTCTGATATCCAGGGATAACAGTGTCAGACTTAACCATGTTAGCTTATGAGAAAAGTGCCATTTACATCATGAGGATCTTTCACTGTTTGGAGTGCTTCTCTTTAGATGTAGTCAGTCTCTGTCTCTTGAGCTTCCTTTTTCCCCACCTCTGACCATCCTTCACATACACGCTTTCCCAGCCACACGTATACAAGTCAGCTAACGCCTGGCACTGCCAGATGGCTCCATCCCAGGCACAGGCTCCGTGCACCCCTCTGCATGGCCAGCCTGCCTGTACAGCGCCCCTCCTCACAGGCCTGTCCACCGCTTCCTCAAGCTCCTTCCCCCAGAACCGATAACATACCCAGGTCAAGCAGAGGGCCCTCTCTCCCACAAATGGCCCGTCCAGCCAAGGCCACAGTCCTTCCATTACAAGTGCCTTGGACTCTGTCCTCATTGATATTTGATGTCTGCAGATCCCTCCAGTCTCAGCTACTTAAGGATCAATAAACAATCCTTCCCTCCCAGAATTGCCTTCTGCCAGAGAGAAGGCAAAGTTACTCCCGTTATTCTTACTCTCTCTCAGATGCTCAAAGCCAGTGAGGTCTGGCTCTCCTCTGAGTATCCCTTGAACTTCCTTACATTTCTTAAAGCTTCGAATTCTTTTATCAGTTTACACTGATACTCACCACAAGGCCGGATCCGTCTCATTTTCTCTTGGTAGTTACTCTCCAGGAATGTCTGACTGAGCGAGGCCTGGGGAATGGGCTTCCTGAGCAGCTGTATCAGAGGTACTTCTTTGGTATAAATGTCAATTATTTTTCCTATAACTGTTTACTGAACTCCCTCTTCCCCAGCCACGGAAGTAATGGCGGTGAGTCAGTACCTGGGCAGCAGCCAGGGAGCCTTTAACTCGTGCTGTTGCCTTGAGTAGAGATGCCTTTTCTCCTGCCTTTTCCCCTTTCCTTTCCTTTCCTTTCCTCGATCCTCAGTGTCTAAATAATAGTCAGGTAGGAAATCTGCGAGTGCCTCTTCAGAGCTGCTCCTCCTGGACACAGGGAAGCCAGATGCGCTCAGCTCCCGGGTTCCTAAAGGTGGCAGCACAAAAGAACCACTGTTCCTGATCAGGCGGCCCAGAGGGAGTAATCCCCCTCCTTTGGGGGCAGAACGAGTGCAGTCAGTGCTGCCCCCCAGCACCACGGAGGTCTGTCACACGCACACGCCCGTGCACGAGGGACTCCCCGCATGGAGTCCCTCGTGCACGGAGGTCTGTTACACGCATACCCCAGTGCACGAGGGACTCCATGTGGGGAGGTGCTCCGTGTTGTTGCAATAGCTCTGCCCTGAGTGCCCACGTGCCAGGGATGTGGGAATCATGATGTGTACTTTGGGAAGAAAGGGCATTATTACGAGATGAGTCATTGTATTTTTCTTACTACAGTTTCTCATAAGAAATCTTGAAGCCCTTATAGCCTAAGTTTGGGACCTATTGCTAGAAATGGAGCTGGGAAACCTTTTTGCAAGATTTTACCTTTAGTTTCATAGCTTTGTTTTTCCCTTCACCTTCTTTTCCCTAGAAATACTAAGAGCAGAAAGTAAATTTGTATGGTGCTCAGTGTATCCCATTCCAGCAAATGTTTTCTTTCGTGTTTACAAACCCAGGTCCCCATGTAAAGACTGCTTTCTTCTTTAGATGTAAAGCCCAGGGGGGCTTTGGGAAATTTAAAATTGTTTATCATTTTATCATTCCTTTATTAAAGAAATAACGAACATAACCGAAGTCATAGCTTTACTTTCCAAAGTAATAACTTTATTGTGTAAATAATCGCAGAACTCTGTATATATCTGGGACATTTCAGAGTCAGCACAAAGCTGCTGTCTCATAGAACACTGGTTACAGCGGCTCCTAGTCTCTGGAGACCTTCCCATCTGCTCTCACCATCACATTTTAACATAGTTTCCTGAGTACTGGCTGTGTGCCGGGAGCTCTGGTAGGCACTGGGGAAACAAAGAAAAAGAAAAACAGTGCTCTTGCCCTCAAGGAGCTTACAGTTTGGCAGATCAAGGGTACTGAAGGTGACCCAGGTGACCTAAAAGTTGTAATTCTAATAGAGCCTCCTTTTTTCTTAAAGACGTACCCGTTCTGCACTTTAATGGTTCATTCAGCTGCTCTCTACAGTTCGGGAAGGGAAGTCCAAAATTCTAAGTTACTTTCTTTTAAACCTAAGCTGTAAAAGTCTGTGATTGTTTGGGAAATTAAAAATGGCATTTAGCACTAGAGCTGCAGAAAAGTGGATGTGTACGTTAAGATATTCAGAAGCTCTGCCTCACCTTCATTTGATTTGTGGCCAAGCTGTGAAAACAGCTGTTAAGATTCTTCAGAAAGCGCCAGGCCCTCGCCTAGAGTGGAAGGATTGCTGGCACGCCCTGACAAGAGACAATATTTCAGCACTAAACTGAACACTTCTCTTAAGTCAAGCTACTGTTTAATGTTAGAGAATCCTCCTTCTAGTTTATGAGTATAAAACTGAAATGCAAATGAGTCTAAAGAAGCAATAAACTGCCCTAGCCTCGGTTATTTTTAGCTCGGCTGTCATATTTCTCAGCTGTGCGTAACTGAACCTCTGTGGGCCTTATTAGCCCTCCTCTCAGTCAAGGGGGAGGGTATCAGATTATCTCAAAAATACTTTCTCACACTGAATTTCTATCAGAGAAAGCAGATGAAAATGTAGCTAAATAAAAACCACAAAATGATTTTGCACAAAAGAGCATTTTACTCACAGCTTTAAAAATTGTGATTGAAAAAAAAAAATTTCAGGGGAGAGTTATAGTTTAATCTTAGGAAAGATAAATAGAAATTATAAGGAAACATTTCAGTCCTTAAGTTTTTAGACTAGAAGAAATAAACAACAATTTGACTGTGCACTAACTTCTGTACCCTGATGACAGAATTATTTAGCTTCCTTGAGGAAACTTCTGTGTAAGTTTAAAACAGATCATTCAAGAGAGGAACTCTTTTTTTTGTACCAAAAAAATTAAATAAGTAGTGGATGATTTTTCTAGGTTTTTCTTACTGTATCGTAGACTTTAAGAATCCATTCTTCTTATCTTATTGTATTTCCTAAACAATGCTAGTGATAAATTACATGGAAGCCATTAACAAGAGATTCCTGTAGCACTAGGCAAATTTCCTTGAGTGGGAAGAGGTCATTTCCATATTTTGCATTTCCCACAGTGTTCTGAACTTAGTTTTTTACTTAATAACTGCTTACCAAAATTGTACATGTTCATTGTAGAAAAGATTTTAGAAACTAAAATTTACCCACGACTCCCAACCCAAAGATAACCTCTGTTAATGATCTAGTCTGTACTCCTGTGTAGTTCATACTTGATAACTAAGTTTGGTCT